ATATCAGGCTATTGGCCTAATCTCTAAGAGCAGGTTTGACCTCAATTAGGCCTGAATCAAATAAAAAATGTTCTAGGAAGAAGCATCGAGGAAATTGTTCTGATTGTTATGTGGCTCTTAGGGCAGGTTTGGATGGACAGAAAATTACCCTAACTAGTTACCCTAACTTGGCAAGGTAGCAAGACATCTGCAGTAATCCAATTGCCTGTACCTTCTGAGCTCCCTCCTCAGCCGTATTCGTCTGAAGGTCATACAGATTATAACCAAAATCATTGCTAAAACTGTTAGTAAGTGTCATCCATGGTTCTTATGCAGACATACCTTGTTCCTGGGATGAGACATGCCATAAGAAGGATGTTAGGCTTTATGGTCAAGTTTTGGCTACGATAAGTTCAACTATATGCTGTATCGGATTCGTGGCATGGCGTATGCATCTCCAAAATTCTACATGTAGTTTAGAAGATGAAATCTAATGCTCTATGTGGTTGGTAGTTTGTATCAATCTCATTGACTGAGGTTTTTTTTTCTTTTGCCACCTCTATTGACTGAGTTCATTGCCTTTGCTATCGTATGCAATTACTCTATGAACCTCATTATTTTACTACGAGAAAAAAAGGTAAATAGGGCCATAAATTTTATATTTTTATTTCAGGCTATAAATTTTTCAAAATTTTAAATCAAGTGGTAAAATTTTTTTTTTTTTAAGTTACAAACCTTGTGTTTTTTTTTTTTTTCTATTTAAGGATTTATTGTTTGAGGATTATAACATGACAAAAGGTAATCTTAATTGGAATAGAGCAAATTTTGTATTATTAATAGAAAAAATTGAAAATTTATCATTAAATTGAAAAAAAAAATTAAAAATTCATGTTCTTAAAAAGAAAAATAACAAAATTTGCATTAGACCAAAACTTTTTCTTGTCTTTCTAGAAAAACAACTAGACCAATTGAATACTTCTACAAATATAATAAAAAGAAAACATTATCACTTCATTTCATAGGATATTGCGACTTTCTCTAAACCATGTTATTTACTGTTCGATGTTGCAAGGCAGTTGTGCACTCATTTTACTTGAAACAATTATATCAAATACTGCTCAAAAGAAATTGCATTTCGTTAATGATGTAAACAAGTTAACGAAGTGACTACTGGGATTGAATTGATACATATTTTTATTTGGGGGCCGAGATGTTATTTATCATATTCTTTAAGATTAAATCAATAGGCATTCTTGTTTGGGGACCAAAACCGAAATGTTAATAAAAATATTCTTTGGGGACTATTAATAATTCAGTCCAAAAATTGAATTGTTTCCTTTGTCCTCCGCAGAATTAACATAAAATCTAACCCAATTTAAGAACTTTCCTTCTTTTGAAGATTGGAAAATCTGCAGATATAAATGTGTTTATTATATATATTCATCCTTGAAAATGGACCTTATGGTTGGAGAAATTATCGGGGAACTGTTTCAACAACTCTACATACTCTTCCCCACCATCCCACCATTCCATGGATGTTATCTTTGAACCCCAGAGGGGCAGATCCTTCTCTATTGAAGTGGGTTTCTTTGACACAGTCCTGGAAATCAAAGAAAAGGTTCAAAAATACCAGGGGATTCCTGTTGCCAGCCAGACCCTAGTTTTCAAGGGTCGTGTTCTTCAGGATGAACAGGACATTGAGTACTGCGAACTGTTGCAGGATTCCCACGTTCAGCTTCAGGTGGCACCGGAACCGGATACAACCCAAGTCAAGCCCCAGATTCATGTTGAACAGCCTTCTCCTGTGGCGTCCAATAAAATCCAACTCAAGATCAATATTTCTTCATCCAAAACCTGCGTCCCTCTTGAAATAGACGTTAACGACTCCATTTTGCGCTTAAAGGAAAAGATTCATGAGATGGAGAATGTTCCAATAAACAGGTTAGTGTGAGGGCAGTGGAGTTAATTAGCAGTCCTGAGTTGGTGTCAGGTGTCATTAACAGAAATTAATCCTGAATTCGTCATTGCAGGTTAGTAGTTCAATATAGGGGCATGGAGTTGCAGGATAATCGATCTTTGCGGGAATGCGAGCTTAAAGATAATGCGCAGATTGATGTGAATGTAAGGCCGTCGCCTACGGCATCCGGGACGGGGTCAAAGAAATTGAAATTGATGGTGTTGCCGAAGTGCGGACCAAAAAAGATACCAGTGGAGGTGAATCCATCGGATAGCGTTGGTGAGTTGCGAAATGAGCTGCAGAAGTTGCAGTCGAGGCTTCAATTTACACTTCCACCCGAGGGATATTTCTTCATTTACAAACAGAATGTTATGGACGACGATCGCTCCTTCCGGTGGCACCAGGTCAGCCAAGGTGATACCATCGAAATTTTCAATGGCAGCGTTACTTGAGGATCATAAAAACATTCCTGCAAATGCCTAGAATTAGAATTAGTTTTAGAGCTAGAATTAGGTGTTTTTTTTTTTTTTTTACCTTAATTTCAATGAGAAATATCATTGGGGGTAATTTGGTCTTCTGATAAGATTATGGCGATTTTTTTTTTTATAGATAGGATTATGGCGATTTGATTGTGTGACACTGAAAATATCAAATGGAAAAAGAAAAAGTTTTTGGATATATCCAAACTTTTATTATAAATATTAAATATTGTTCCAACTTTTCATTTTTAACTAAAAATATCGCCAATTTTTTTAAAATTACCAAGCCTAATCCAACCATTAATCATTCCATTAAGTCCCTAATGGAGATCCTCATTGGAATTTTGTTGGATCACACAGATCTTTACATAATTTTTCTTTTAATTTTCCATGCCCCGAGTTTGTTTTTGGCTAAATTCTACATCCCAAGTGAATTGAATGAGGTGATTTTGAGTTAGGGTTTTCAAAAAAGTTCAAATTTATAATTATAATCCTAGTTAGGGTTTTTCCAATGTTCAAATTTCTAATTATAGGTGGGGATGCAAATTTGCAAGTCGACATGCATAAAAAAATTTATAGGAATATCTATGAAAAAACTTAAATATATACTATTAATGAATTAACACATATAGGTAATTTATTAAGATTCTTTAAAAGTATTTAAATAATTTTATAGATGTTTTTACACTTCCTTTTTTTTTTTATTTATAAGTCAACCTGAAAAATTAATACTTTTCTTACTATAGTTTTGCTCCTTTTAATTTGAACTTGTATATTATGAAAGTTATAAATTGGCATTTGCCCCTGAACTCAAGACGCAAAATGAAGACTGTTTTTTGAGTCACCTAGTTTAGGTTATTAAGGCCGGAGCTGCCATATATGGTTTCTAGAGTTGGAAGCTAACTAGATGGCAAGATCCTCACCTCAAGTTTGAATATGGCCAATTGGCCATAGATGGCTGGAGCTGTCATTGTGTGAAATGTCCTTGGTGTCAACGACAAGATCCTTTTCCTCAGTGGTGAGACTAAATGTTCAGGAGAGGGCGAAATATGCCCCTGCAGATTGTGGATGGTGGTGTGAAATCCATTTTTAAAACTAATTAATGGTTTTCATATCATTAGAAATTTAGAATCTTATTAGAAAATTACGAGGAATTTGGGACTTTAATTGAGTATAAAAAAATATATGAGACCTTAACTACAAATTGGGTAAACATTTGAGACCTTATCAACATGTTAGGCAACTCACTCTTATTCGTTTATCCATAATCTCTTAATTTTATTGAAAGGGAAAACTTAGGTTGTTAGTATCAGTCCCTAATCTTTTTAAGTTTGGAGCAAATAAACAAAATACTTTAATTCATTATTTTATTGACCAATATTTGAAAGTAAAGAAACTTTTCAATAACTTAACCCAAAATACTTAGAGTAAATTTTTTTGAAGATAATACTCCATATAACAGTCCTATCTTATCCCAATTTGCAAATCATTTCATTTTAAATCTTAAGATAAAAATAAACTTCCCTTCTAAATAAATAAATAAAGAAAAAGAAATCTTGTTATTATTTTCATTAATTATTATTGTTAAAGTCTTAAAATTCTGGTTATTTATTTTGCAGAGCATGGAGGTTTATGATGCCTATTGTCATCTGACCGTTCCTGTGCGGGTTCCGGTCACTGCAACCGTTCTTGACCTCAACTGAAAATGGAGACATATTTAGGTTTGTCCGTGGACAAGCAAGATGTGTTCTTAGACCCACAGCCGCGCCGGTTGGAAGATGAAAACGTATTGCAAAATATCTGCCAAGTTCGTGATGGCGCGCAGCGCCGTTTTCCTCAGGCTGAAGCTCCAAATTTGGGTGAAGACGTTAACCGAAAGGTACGGACTAGTTGTTTATACAGACAACAACGTGCTCGCCATGAAGAAAAGGCTGGGGGAAAAATATGGCCTTAGATAGAAAATGGGAGGTTGGCTCTTCTTGATCCATCCACAAACAGGCTCCAAGTTTTGGATGATTGCACCGTTCTTCATACTATTAGCATCCATCTTGGGGAAGGTATTGAATTTCTTTTGGTATGATGAATCCATTTGTTTTGTTTAGCTTAAATTAATTATGCTTAGTATAGTAACATAAAAAAAAAAAAAAATTATTCTTGGTATGGTAATTTTTATTATTTTATTGTTTTAAGCTTGAGTTACCTAATTAGAGGCAAAACCTCCCTATCTTTTAACGCAACTCAATCGTAAAGGTTAAAATACCAAATACTAGTAGCTTACCAAGAAAATACCAAATATAGTCCCTTAATTTTCATCTTTATGCCAGAATAGTCCTTCAATTTTAAAAAACTTTTAAAGTACTGAAATAGGCCTTAAACCTTAAATTTAGGTACTATTTTGGCCCTTTAATTAACTTCTTCGTAATTGGATGTCAACAACAAAGGTTGATCTGGAACGCGCTAGTATGAGGATTTAATCCATTTTTTTAGTCAATTAATAAAAAAGTATTATATTGTTTTAAATTATAATTATTAAGTGAGATAAATTCTTTAATATTGAAATCATTCTCTCATTCAATAGTTCTTATTTTACATTTTATGTAATATTTACTATAATAACTCAAATTTAAAACTTCTTATTTGTGTTAGGCCACATACCTTATTCATCAAAAAGAATTTGTATACTTAATTAATTTTACAAGAGATTCATTTATATCATACCCCATATAAACACGAATTGATACTTACATCACATTTAATTTGTTTAATTACAACCACAACTCCACGATTTTCACTACAGAAGTTCCTAGTACGAATATATTACGGAAAATGATTGACACCTTAAGTGCAACATATCTCACAACACTTATTGATTTAATCATTAAATTTTGTAATTTTTAATTTTTTTCATCTTTAATTTAAATTGGTTAAATACCTTCTTTGGTCCCTCTACTATAGAAAAAAGCTCTTTTTGGTCCCTGTATCGAAAAATCCCCTTTTTGGTCCTTACTGTTCACAAATCTAGTCCCTTTTTAGTCCTTTCGTTAAATTTTAGTTGATGTGGCGGGTTAATTAA